AATGTCAAGTTAGGAAAGAGTGGATTGTTGTAAATTTCAATGATTAATATTTTTTGAATAATAATAAAATAATTAATTAGAGGATACATCGTAATTATGCGTTTGAATATTCAACGTCGGAAAACTTCAAGCTCCTAATCACTCAAAAAAAATTAATATGGCTTTCTGTTAACTTTTTTCTTAATTTCCAGTAAAAATGCATGCGAAATCTTGTACTAAGTATTTATATGTTAACATTTTAGAACTAAAAATGTTGTTTATTTTTAACTAAAAAATTATCTGTGAATTTCGTGATTTTGAATAAATTTGTAAGAATTTGAACTTAAAATGATTATAAAAAATGTGTTTACTATCAATTATCCTCAACGCGATAAGAACAAATTATGAGAAATCTTGTTTTAAATTTGAAAACTTTTTAGTTTTTTTTTCTACAGACAAAAATTTATCATACATACGTACCCACATTAAAAATAAACTGAAAAAGGTGAGCAATTTTAAATATATATAAATATGTAGCACAAGGATAAGTAATATTGATAAATTCATATATTATCGAAATACATTAATTTATCCTCCCAAAATCTATGAGGTAAGGTTGTTATGAGGTAATGTACAAGTTATTGAGCACAACTTATCAAAAATGTCAGTCAACACTTTACAACAGTTTTTTTAATAGTTAATTGACCAAAAATGGTATACTTAAAATATTTATAATTATTAAAATGATATAGATATTTATAGAATACAATAAAGTATAAAAATATTCGGTAAACAAGAAATCGTATTAGATAAATGAGTATTCCCGAGTTTGATAAGCTGAAAGTTCTTCCTGAACTTGAATTTCTCATTTTCCTAGTTTATTAGGTCATAATTTAACAGTGCAAACATTTTGAATAATAAATAAATACTAATTATCAATTTATATTTTATTTGTTTATGATTATGACTAACTTTTGAAAAGAAATATTCATATTCTGAAAACTAAACTAATAAGATGGTACCTACAATGAAAACATTTATAAAAACGTTTCACTTTAATATGTATGATTACCTATATTATAATAGAATCTAAAATGAACATGGGGTAAACAAATGAAGAAAAAAATGAGGCCGAATGCATTTACTTAGTGAACATAATATACATTAAATTTCTGTTTAAATTACTATAGTGAAAAAACTCTTGATCAGCAATTTTTGGGGCTTTTATAAATAGGTAGATGTATAATTTTACTGTAAGCAGTAATAATATATTTTGTGGTTTTCTTTTAGTACTTAAACTTGAAGTTTAAATTAAAATCAGAAAAAGAAGGTGATAAACCATTAGCTGGACTTAATTTATATTCTTCTATATGTTTAAAATAATTAAAATGAGTTTATATTATAAGCTGAAACCAGAAAAGACTATTGGTCTTCCGATGTTTTTATTTTTTTTTCTGGTGAAAGTGCTCTAAAAATACTTATTTTGAAACCAACGTACATTAATAAAATGTGTAATATTTATAAGCAAAAAGGTTAGAAAAAAGGTCTATAATTTTTTTTCAAGATTTCAATTTAATAATTTTTTTTTATATCCAATGCTAAGTTTCGCTTGATATTTAAAATTGTTTATTAATCCAAAATATAATTTAGATATAAAATAATGAATTATATTGTTGGTTGTATGGTCTATTAAATTTTTAAATTTTTAAATTGTTAACGATGAAAGGATTATTGAAGTTATTTAATTTGAAAGTTAATTAAAACTTCTCAAATTACTTTTACGTTCATTGCAGAATATATGCAAAAGGTTCCTCCATATGTACCTGATATGAAATAGTCACTATTCATTTGAAAAGTATTTTCCTAAAACTGAAGAAGAAACAATTGAATGCTTTTTATAAAGAATTCTTTCAAACATCTATATCATTATAAATCGTCAAAAAGAAAACTTGATTAAACTTTCATGTTACACAACTTTAAAAAGTAAATTTAAAAGAAAACAGCTTATTAATTTTTGGATATGGACGAATATGAAGACTTTCTGATTGAGTTTCTATGGCGATTTACTAGTACAAAGCTTGTCAAGAAAGCTTTTTTTCGTACATCTTTATCCAAAAATGAGTACAGAAATAAGCTGGATACATCTCCATATTTAGGATTATAACTTATACCATTTGAACAAAACAAGTTCAGGAATCTCATAAACTAAGTCAAATAGTTTTATTTTATTCATTATTTTGTTGTGTGTAAAAAAATATAAAAGTATATTGTAAAAACATTATTACCTTATATTATATTATTGTATCATTATTTTTAATTCTGAGCGGAGATTCTAAACTTTCAAAACGTCTATGCTTGAATAGACTTAAGTCTTTGCGTGTGGTTGCAGCACATAAATACAACTCTGTTTATGACAAATTCCGTGAAGATACGTGGAATTAAACCACAACATATACTCATCTGATAGCTTATTATCAATATACAAATAAAAATTCTATTCAAACTACTGTTTGAAACTACTGCAAGCATATGAACATATAAAGTAAGAAAAAAATTGTAATCTCTATAATATGTGTAGGTGTGTAGATGCTTATATATATATATATATATATAGACGGTGAACTTCTCTTTTTAAAAAGTGGCATCACAGAAACAACAGTACGATACACACACACACACACACAATGTTTTGTATGCGAATTTTATTCTTTCTCGAAAAGAGTGCGCGTTTAAGTGGTGTAATTATCATCTCTGCAGTCGTCGGAACAGAATCGGATTTGGAAACGCGTCACCGCGGTCTGAACGAAGGGTGGGTATCGTTCGTGTCCGTTTATCGATTCGATAAACGCCATACGTATGTGTACTTACGTACAATATGTATATATCGGGAACTCTCATTCACTCTCTCTCTCATTCTGCTGTATACTCATGGGCGGCAGTGGCATCAGTTTGGAGTAGGGTGCGTGCACTGACTCCAGGTGGTGGTAATTGAGGGTAGCAGGGTAGCAGATTATGTGAGCGTATATATGCGTGCCAGATGGTTAAGACGGGTTAGACCAGTAAAGCCACAACGGGGTCTCCCTCGCCGTATAATAATAATATATAAGTGTGCGCGTAGCAGTTGTAGTAGTAGTATACGCTATAATATATTATAATACCATGTATATGTGTGTATATATATATACCTATTATATGTTCATGTTGTGTGTGTGTATGTGTGTGTACGTCGTGTATATTTCAATCAACAAATTAAACGGGCCGACGTGCTCCTCCCACTGTTCACCGAAAAACCGTCCGTCAAACATGATTTATAATAATTATTATTATTTCCTATAAACACGAAGCGATGGATCGCTTGAAAGGCGAAACAAAAATATTTACGTGTTTATATACCTACGACGGGTGGTATAGTATACATCGCTGATTTGTTCGACTGCTGACGAAACTATTTTCGGTGTGTATTAACTATTAATTATTAATACAAATTTGTGTACTATCATTATACGATAATCCATACATAAAGATAATACCACTATGGATCTGGATTATGGTTTTTTTTCATTTTTTATTATTATTTTTTTTTCGTAAAAGTAATTTTCGATGTCGGATCGTTTGTACCGTGCATTCCTCCGCCGCCGCCGCCTCTGCAAACCAACTTTGGTAGCAGCAAATCGAACAATACCCAGAAGTCTTTGTGCGATATTAGTGAAAACCGAAAAGGCTTTCAAATCGATCCGCAAAATATTGTAAACGACGATGAAAACCTAAACATTTCGAAGGCTTCTAAGCCTGTACCCTTGCGTATATCTATAGATGAGACGTACCATCATTATGGAGCTCTTTGGGTATTTATTCTGATTAATACTCATTGTATACTTTTTTTCGTATATATAATATACACTCGCCTCTCCCCCTTTCACTCTTTGTATACATTTTTGCTTAACCACGTAAACTTTTTTCAGTGGCTTTTGTATGCCAACGTATATTGTCGGTATACTCAATTTGTTATGTCCTATGAAATGTTTAACTGCTTATATATATATTTTTTTTTTTGTTCAGCGAATGTTGACGCTATACGAGTTTACTGTGTTTCATTACTTAGAGTATAATATTATTTATTTGGTTTATTATTTAAAAATGTATAATCACAGTAGCGTAAAAAGTCTATGTATTTTATGTTTTTATAAACGGTGCGAGTCATTTGGTCGAAGGTTTAGTGATCGAAAAAAAGCGATCGAAATGTCATGTCATCGAATCTTTTTTTGGTCGAAAAACAGATGATCGAATATTTTATTAATATAGTCGAAATATTTTGTGGTCGAATGGGTTTTTTGGTCGAAGTAAAGATAATGATTATCTTTTCGATTACTTTATCTAGTATTTTTATAGATGTACCTAGCCCATATGAAGGTATATCGTATAGTAGGTACTTAGTGTGTAACGAGTGATGATAGTGTGTACACGACTGTTCAGTACACGTGTGCGGTGTACCTTCCAATAGTGTTTATCATCTGTTCAATATACTTTGGTATTTTATACATATTTTTGCAACAACAGTTAATTTTTTTTATTATATATAAATATGAATATTGATATTGTACCTAGCATCCATGGAGGAATATTATTAAATATAAATAATTTCATATATAAAAAAAACAAAGATTTATTACGTAAAACTGACGGCAAACACGTATTTTATTGGATTTGTGTTAATAAATGTGGTGCAAAAATTCGAACTGTGGAGACAAATGAAAAAAAACATGAACTAGATAAAAATTCAACGTTTTTTCCGGATCAACACTGTCATGCTCCCGATCCTATAGGCTTGGAAGTAAGAAAAATAAAAGAAAAAATTAAAATGAATGCGAAAAATTCAATCGAAGATAAACCATTACAGATCTATCAGAAATCTATTAACGAGTGTTCGACAATTGTTGCTTCCCATGTGAGTAAGAATTCAGTTCAACAAATTAGTAAAACGTCAAAGACGCAATGTAGAAATCTACAATGAACCTAAATCCATTGATGAAATATGCCTAGCCCCAACAATGTGTCAAACACTAAAAGGTGAATTATTTTTAATTAAAAAAAATGAAAATTTGCTATTGTTTACGACGAATGATAACTGTAAATATTTAAGCGAATCTATTTGCTGGTTAGCAGATGGAACATTCAAGGCTTGCCCTCAAATTTTCGAACAAATGTATGTTATTCACGGATCAATTAAACGCGGAACCGATGAAATTTTCGTACCATTAGTATTTGCTCTGATGAATGGTAAAAGTGAAGAGCTATATAATCAAGTATTTTTTTTATTAAATGAATTTTGCCTCGAAAACAATATTAATATTACACAAACTAATGACTTGGAAATAATAACAGACTTTGAAAAAGCGGCCATAAATTCTTTAACTGAAAATTTTCCCCAAGCAACTCATTCAACATGTTTTTTCCATTTATGCCAGAGTATTTATAGAAAAATTCAAAATATTGGGTTATCGACGAAATATGCAAATGATCCTGAGTTCAATCTTCTTGCTAGACATTTACCTGCGATGGCCTTTTTACCAGTTGATAGGGTTTGTATTATATTATTGTAATTTGCATTGATTTTATTTTATTGTATTTTTTTCTATATCTTTACATTTAATATTTAAGGTTCAGGAAGGTTGGGCCATAATCAAACCATTATTTGGGAGCAATGAAGAAGAACAAAGTCTATTAAAGTATTTTGAACATTCATACATAATGGGTAAACAAGTTATGAAAACAAGAGGAAGACCAAGAAGAGAATCAGTTTACACACCTCCACTTTTCCCTCCAGAATTATGGTCTGTAGCTGAAAGGTTATCATCAGGATTGCCCAGGACGACAAATACAGCAGAATCCTGGCATAGAAAATTAAATAGATTAATATCGCCACATCCAGGTTTGTCTGAAATCGACATTATTATTTATCACTAATTATATTATTAATTTTATTATTATTTGTCGTAGGACTGCATAAATTAATCAAAACCTTACAATCTACTCAGAACGAAACTGAAGCAGTAATTGAGATGTTACTTTATGGACGTAGTAATAAAAAAATGAAAATTCAAGTACAATCGCACAATATACGCTTAAAAGAAGTGCAACAAAGACTATTAGCTGATCCGGGTTATGATTTATTAGAGTATTTAAGAGGAATAGCTCAAAATTTAAAGTTTTAATTACTCATTATATTATAATATTTATACTAATACTTATAAGTTATATTTTATAACAAATTTTTTCTACGTTATACTACCTACTTAAATTAATTTTATATTATAATTTATGTTTTTTTTTTTAAAATAATTAACACAAAATATATATTTTTCGACCATGACAAATTTCGATTACATAACATTTCGATCATTTGCATTTTCGATATTATATTTTTCGATCAAGAAAGTGTTCGACCAGATACCTTTTCGGTCACTTTTTTTCGATCACTAGACTTTCGGTCACTAGATTTTCGGCCAGACAACCCCCACCCTTTTATAAATAACCTTACTCGTCGTATTTTTTGCAACATTTAAGTAGTAATATTGTGAAATATGATTTTGCGTTTTCCTCAACACTTTCTTTTTGTGTACAGTTATTTATATATTTGTTGATAAAAGCATACTGATGAACACACAATGTGTTAAACACTAATTAAATAGGTTTTTTAAATTATAATTTTGTCGTTTATATTATAATTGCAGTTCATCATTTTATGCAGTTGTTGATTTTGCGTTCAGATTTATTTGAGTTTTGAAAATTCTAATATTTACACAATAAATAAAATTAATATAATAAAGAAAAGACGGGGGGGAAGTGATAATATAATGATAAAGGAAAGTTAAGGGTTTGCCAATACGCGCAGTTGTTATAAAAAACAAATAAACTTGATAAAAAAATATGATTCCCGAAGGATGGACATTGAAAAGCAAATACTAAAAGTGGAGTACAAAAAATAAACTCTGCAGGATCATAAAAACTAGCCCCTATGTTTATTTGCGGTGAGTATGAATATGAGTAGGAGTATGAGTATGAGTACCATGAGCCGATGGGCAAATACAATTATGCATGGAATTATTTTCGGTTCACAAACAGACACTTGCTTTTAAAGATATACAAATAATATTGAGTGTTGTAAATAGGGTTGAGGAATTATATTATTTGCAGTTTGTTTTAATGAGTACGATTTATAACTAATAAAGAAATACCTATTACAGTATCATGACCTATACATATTTATTTGGTACAGGAAATGCATAATTATTTCTATGGTACCTACTTATAAATATTATTGTTTAACTATATAAATAATATAAAATAAATATATAAATAAATAAATATATATATATATGTGTATATAACATTTTTAATTTTATATTTCTATGAAGGTCAAACAAAGTAGATACGGCTGTGTCCCTGGATACTGTCAATAGTAAACAGTGATACTCGTATATACGTATAAATTATTATATTATTAATTAAATAAAAAAAATGTATTACAATTATCTTTCTTATCTATTTAACCATATATTTATATAAACATCAAAAGATCTAAAATATTTATTTGATATATTATATCAATTTAAGTTCATATAACTCCTCTATACCCAACCCATACATTTAATTATCTCATATAAAATATCTGTGTGCCTACCAACTGTAAAAAAATTTAAAAAATAATATGCTAACTCAGGGATTTTACACATTCTATAATATTTATTTTAATTCGAAAAATGTGCTTTATTAATAAAAACCCAAAAAAGATTTAGGTACTCTAAGTGAAACATTGCTTAGTACCTATTATAAGCATTAAAAAATTGAACATTATCTATAAAACATTTATTTAAAATGTTACGAAACATAGAACCAAGGTGTAATAGATTTTTTCCTTAACTCATACTGCAGTAGGTATCTATGCAAGCAAAAATAAAATATCTTAATAACAGTACCAAAGCACAATTTTATGTTAACGGGTTCTCTAATACTGTATCTTATAAGCGCCTTGAATGTGAATTTAGTTGATTTTAAATTTTATCTTGTATAAAGATATATGTCGATATAACTTATTAATCAAAATTATATGATCTATCGTCCGTGAATGTAATTATCCGAACAAATTTAAATATATTATATTTACTCGGCTTTCGAGACTTTGAATACGTTTTATATAAAAATTCTTTGTGTTGTCATCACCCATTAGTGTTTCTATTTCTATTTGGTTGCTTTGTGTTCTCTTCGTTTACATTATTGATGATTCTACCAAGACCGTTGGACAATTTGTCATATGGGGATCGTGGAGACACGTGTGTTGTTATTGTTTTGCGTTTTAAAGGCGTGAAAGCATGGAAAATATTGGGAGAAAAAAATAAGCTCACTCAGTCATTTAGAAACACATTAGGGAAACATTTACAATGTACGAGATTTGTACGGGTTGCATTATTGTAAAGGTCTGATGCGTGTGCAGTATTATATTGTGAATTCTCATGCGGCATAACAATGGAAGTCGCGAACAATGACAACGTAAGTCACGTGCCATCTTTTGGGTGATATAAAACACACGGGCGTGGTGTTCTACATGAAAATCAAACAACATTTTTGATGTGCTTGTTTTATATTATGGTACAATAGCAAACGAAAACAATTTGTGAACACGACGTAGTCGAGTTGTAGTAAGTAACCCAGGCTAAAAAAAAGACCCCGCTACTGGGTCAATATAATAATACAACTACACACACAACTGTTTTTCACAAAATATTATGCTTAAATAATATAATATTCTGACTCGGTAAAGAGTTTAAGCCTTTGAAAGACAGAACAGTGGGTAATCAATTATTTTCAAAAGAAATCTCTAGCATCAGACATTTTTTGTGCGTCGTACATAGGTAAGTATATATTTTTATAAATTCTAATGTATTTATATGTGTGTGCAAATGTAATTAAACTATATTTATCTTTGGATATATCATCATATAATGCATGAAAGCAAAGCTATGACATCTGTGATAAAAGTTAAAAAATAATATTAATAATTAACATATAGTACTGTCTTAATAATCACTTTTACCAAAAGCTATAAATATAATATGTTCCGTTCAAGCAGTTAAAGCTGTAACATAAATTTTAAAAAAATACAACCTTTGATAAGAAGTTTAAAAATAAACAATATCGGTAAGAAGGTAAATAAATTAGAATATTAGATGCACGAATATAATTGTATAATATTTATAGTTTAATATTGTAATATTTTATTTATTTGATTATTAGGTACTATTTTATTTACACGTGTAGATATATTATGGTTATTATAGATTTATACTTATTATTTATATATTGAAATATTAAAATAATGTTTGTCTGTAATTCGATAATATAATAATCAATGGGTATGCATGTTATTATAATATAGTATTTTACCTGGGACCTTATACATATTTCGTTACGGAGTAAAGTCATGTGGAATGATGAACATATAGTTTTGCCCCGTATTTGCATAGTTTGGTTTCAGTTAATCATTCTAAAAGTAGCGGTGTGGCCTTTGAGAGATTTGCCGACCCCATTACGAAATTTGGTTGTAGCTAATTCCTAAATTTCTCTTTATGTGTACATCGGCGTTTTATGATAATCCACACCCTCTAAGTGTTCAAAACGTACAGTATGTGTGTACATGTCCCCTTTCGTGGTGTTGATCCTTAGCACGCCGATCGTCGTTTGTGACTTATCCTATGGGGAAAGGTTTAGTGATAATCAATGGTAATCCCTCGACCGATTTTAACTGCTGGCCGTTTTGTAGGGGTAAAATGGCATTTGGACTAAGTGAAACATTTGGACGTATTTCATCGGTTGATTAGTTTTCATGCTCATTTTTTCCTCTGCACACTCCTAATAGTAACCCCCCGCTGTTTGTCACCGATGAGTCGAGTTAAAACACTTAAACTCTGTGCAATATGAGAATACAACTACATTTTACGTGAAAATGTGACTTTATTATTATTTATTTTAAAATGGAATTTCAATACGTTAACTAAATCACATCACACCACTACTTACAATATTAATATTATGTTTTGATGATAAATTAATCAATAATTTGTGTACATTTTAATATGGTATAACTTACATGATACACTTTTTTCATGAATTCATCATACAAACAAATATTTATTTATGTCAGAAATTAATGACTTGTAGCTTTAAATGTAACTAAGCGTAAACAAACTTACTGTAACTTCAAGTTGTAAGTAATTTCAAATTTCCAAAGTATCTCACATCTTGTAACAAGATACACGATGTTAAATATTAATGTAACTTGTAACAATGTAACCAGTTACAACTAATCGAGTAACTTGCCCATCCCTGGATACAGGCTGAATGCTGAACATTAACCTACTGTCTCGCACTGACATGTTGTGACTTTTGATATTCAATTTGATAGTAAAAGATCAAAATTTAAAAAAAAAACCATTTTTACGGGAAATAATGTTGAAATCATGCTGATATTTCCTATAAAATCCACTACAGTTTTCTATGGTTTTTCAAATACTATGTGAAGCTAAGGAGAAAATCAAAAATGGTCTAAAACGGTGCTATGTATAGAAGCTACACCGTTTTATACCCTCTTTATAACCGAAACGTTCACCAGTAAAAAGATCATAAAAATAAAAATAACAAAAAATATAATTTTAAAACAAATATACATTTGCTTATAATCAAAAAGTTTATTTGAAAACATTAGTTTTTATAGTGAACAATTATTTTAAAGACATTGTCAGACTATCAAGTTCTAAATGCTATGGGTATATAGTAACAAAATATAAAATTTGTAATTTCCACGAAAATATACCCTAAATATATTTATCAACTTTTATTTTCTCCATACATCATATTTTTATGTACATTTGAACCTAGATAATATACATTATAATTTATATTTATATCGGTATACACAAACAAGTTAAATAAACTACATATTCAACTTGATAAGTTTCATTTGTATTTGCATATAACACTATTGTCTTCGAAAACGTTAAAAAAATGTAACTTTTGCCCTTTTTTAAATATTGTATATTTTGGTTATTTTGCAAAGAAAATCTTAAATACTACCGAAATCCTGATAATTTCATATAATATACAATCTTATTTTATTTTATTTTAATGCCCCACTAGTAAAATCCACGAGCTGAATTTCGTGTATATTATAAAATAAACTAAAACCAAAGCAACGATTGAACATAAACAAGAGTTCCATCACTACTAATGTTTTGT